CCCCTACGCGGATTACAGGATCCGATAGGGGAGCAATAATAACTTAAAGAAAACGCCGCGGAGAACTAATTATAATAAAAGAAGAGAAAGATAGTCCGCAACTACCCGAAGTATCGTTAGTCTCGGTCGCAATGCCTCACGCCGTGTTTGTTCGCAACTCGTGGCGCGCGCGCGGAGCGCGGGGCGGTGCGCGGCGCGAGCGCTCGGCCTAACGACGCGGTCACGCGCTCGTGGCGTGTGCGGGCGTACCCGATTGGTGCGCGCGTACGGCGCGCGGGCCGTACGCGAGTTCGAATCTCCGCGCCCGGGGGCAAAGTCTAGGATCGTGTCGACGGAAGATAGGGAAGCGAAGCGTCCGAGAAGCGCTCGGATCGAGGCGAAGTAGCGCTTCACCCTTGTATCGTTCCCCCGGGTGTGAGGAATTTGGAGTGGCCCCTGCCGAGAAACACTCAGCCAAGAGCAGAGAAACGCTCTACTCCTGGGTATTTCGGGGCCACTGTGCGGATCGTGTCTGGAGGTCTGCGAACCGGGACGCCACCGAGAATCACTCGGACCGAGGCAAAGCCACTCTTTACCCCGGTGTCGTCGGTTCGTGAGACGGTCAGGAACTGGTAGCCTTCCTGGCTTCGGAGCCCCTTATATACCCTATCATTACGGCATTCGGCCGCGATCGGCTCCGTTCGGTGGTTTCCGGTACCGTTACATGACTTACGGTAACGTCTTTGTCGGCTGGCCTTAAGTTGCCAGCCGACGACCTTTGGAACGCTTAAAAAATATGGGGCGCACCGCGCCTTCTTCGCCCGACGGTTCGTCGGTCGGGCGGCATCCGGCGGTTGTTCGGCCGGGAACGATGCACTTTCGGGGGTGCATCGTTACAATGTAAATAGCTGAGAAAGCTAATAAATATCATTCATTCATTCATTCATTCCCTACCACCTATGCGTTCAGGCACGCGCTTCTCTCTCTCTCCCTCACACCCACGTTAGACCCTGTTCAGGCAAGCGCTTCTCTCTCCTTCCACGCGTTAGACCCGCGTTTTTCTCCCTCGCACCCCGCATAGGTTCGCGCTTTTTCTCTCCCTATCAATTAATAGTCCTACTACTCTTGACAGAGCATAGTGACCTCTTCTCGTATTTCTGCGATGTGCGCTATTTACACTTTTACGCAGATATACGGGACCTACATTTTAACGCCGGTTTCGAACGGCCATTTCTTTTTTTTTTTAAGAAGAGGTTCTCTTTGGCAAAGATACTCTCAGTGGTTTGCCATTGCCTTCCGAGAGGTGGCGATCGCTTCCGAATTGATTAAAATCAAATTCAGAGTTACATTATTCTGGGTGGATTTGAACCCGGATCTTTAGCTTATAAAGCTGCCGCGCTGCTCCTCGCGCCACGATCGCCACAACGTAATTTCTCTCCCTATATCCCCTTAAAAATAGAAGGAGGGTAAGAAGAAAGGATACATGTGAATAATTTTTAAAACATGAATATTTTATTTTGTAAAATGTATTATACTCATATACAAAAAATAATTTTTATTCCTGCAACACATGATATACAATATCGTCTAATGCATATACCAGAAGTTCGCAGTCTATAATTGAATTTGCATCACATTTCTCTCGTAAGATTTTCGCCGCATCGCATTTATTAATACAATTTTCTCGTAAATACGTTGCAAAGTACCAAAATTTTTCACTCACACTATAAGTACTTATATGTAACTCATAATATACATTTTTGACAATAGGATCGAGTTCATACATGAAGAGTACAGTTGACGGCTTCATGTACAAACAAACATCGTGTGACATTAATTTTATAACATCCGATTCCTGAATTTTTACACGTCGCACAATCAAATTACAAATCGTTATTGATGATGGTGTCTCGGTTGTCTGCAAAAGTCGCTCGATGTCCGCACGTCTCTCGATA